GCCCAGGGCCAGATGGCTTCCCAGGGGAATTCTACCAAACATTTAAAGAAGAATTAATATCTTTTCCAAAAAATAGAAATGGAAGGAAAACTTCTAAACTCATTTTATGAGGCCAGCATTACCTTGATCCCAAAACCAGACAAAGGCCCCACCAAAAAGGAGAATTATAGACCAATATCCTTGATGAACATAGATGCAAAAATTCTTGCCAAAATACTAGCCAATAGGATCCAACAGTACATTAAAAGAATTATTCACCATGACCAAGTGGGATTTATTCCTGGGCTGCAAGTTTGGTTCAACATCTGCAAATCAATCAATGTGATAAAATACATTAATAAAAGAAAGAACAAGAACCATATGATACTCTCAATAGATGCTGAAAAAGCATTTGACAAAGTACAGCATCCTTTCCTGGTCAAAACTCTTCAAAGTGTACGGATAGAGGGTACATACCTCAATATCATCAAAGCCATCTGTGAAAAACCCACAGCGCATATCATTCTCAATGGGGAAAAACTGAGAGCTTTTCCCTTAAAGTCAGGGACACGGCGGGGTTGTCCACTCTCACCACTACTATTCAAGATAGTACTAGAATTCCTAGCCTCAGCAGTCAGACCACAAGAAAAAATAAAAGGCATCTGAATTGGCAAAGAAGAAGTCAAACTCTCACTCTTTGCAGATGTTATGATACTTTATATGGAAAACCCAAAAAACTCCACTTCAAAACTGCTAGAACTCATACAGGAATTTAGTAAAGTGTCAGGATATAAAATCAATGTACAGAAATCAGTTGCATTTCTATACACCAACAGCAAGACAAAGAAAGAGAAATTAAGGAGTTGTTCCCATTACAATTGCACCCAAAACCATAAGATACCTAGGAATAAACCTAATGAAAGAGGCAAAGATTTCTGTACTCAGAAAACTATAAAGTACTCATGAAAGAAATTGAGGAAGAATCAAAGAAATGGAGAAATGTTCCATGCTTATGGATTGGAAGAACAAATATTGTGAAAACGTTGATGCTACCTTAAGCAATCTACACATTTAACACAATCCCTATCAAAATACCATCTATTTTTTTCATAGAAATGGAACAAATAATCCTAAAATTTATACGGAACCAGAAAAGAACCCGAGTAGCCAGAGGAAGGTTGAAAAAGAAAGCCAAAGTAGGTGGCATCACAATTCCAGACTTCAAGCTCTATTATAAAGCTGTCATCATCAAGACAGTATGGTACTGGCACAAAAACAGACACATTGATCAATGGAATAGAATAGAGAGCCCAGAAATAGACCCTCAACTCTATGGTCAACTAATCATTAACACAGCAGGAAAGAATGTCCAATGGAAAAAAGACAGTCTCTTCAACAAGTGGTGGTGAGAAAATTGGACAGCCACATGCAGAAGAATGAAACTGGACCATTTCCTTATACCACACACAAAAATAGACTCAAAATCGATGAAGGACCTCAATGTGAGACAAAAATCCATCGCAATCCTTGAGAAGAACACAGGCAGCAACCTCTTTGACCTCAGCCTCAGCAACTTCTTCTTAGAAACATCACCAAAGGCAAGGGAAGCAAGGGCAAAAATGAACTAGTGGGACTTCATCAAGATCAAAAGCTTTTTGCACGGCAAAGGAAACAGTCAACAAAACCAAAAGACAACAGACAGAATGGGAGAAGATATTCGTAAATGACATATCAGATAAAGGGCTAGTATCCAAAATCTATAAAGAATTTATCAAATTCAACACCCAAAGAATAAATAATCCAATCAAGAAATGGGCAGAAGACATGAACAGACATTTCTGCAAAGAAGACATGGCCAACAGACATATGAAAAAGTGCTCCATATCACTCGGCATCAGGGAAATACAAATCAAAATCACAATGAGATATCACCTCACGCAAGTCAGAATGGCTAAAATTAACAAGTCAGGAAATGACAGATGTTGGTGAGGATGTGGAGAAAGGGGAACTCTCCTACACTGTTGGTGGGAATGCAAGCTGGTGCAGCCACTCTGAAAAACAGTATGGAGGTTCCTCAAAAAGCTGAAAATAGAGCTGCCCTACGACCGAGCAATCACACTACTGGGTATTTACCATAAAGATACAAATGTAGTGATCCGAAGGGGCATGTGCACCTGAATGTTCACAGCAGCAATGTCCACAATAGCCAAACTATGGAAAGAACCGAGATGACCTAGATGACCATGAACTGATGAATGGATAAAGAAGAAGTGATATATATATATATATATACAATGGAATACTATGCAGCCATCAAAAGAAATGAAATCTTGCCGTTTGCAATGATGTGGATGGAACTAGTAGGTATTACGCTGAGTGAAATAAGTCAATCAGAGAAAGACAATTATCATATGATCTCCCTGATATGAGGAATTTGAGAGGCAAAGTGAGGGGTTGGGGTGTAGGAGGGGAAAAAATGAAAAATGGGATCGGGAGGGAGACAAACCACAAGAGACTCTTAATCTCATGAAACAAACTGAGGGTTGCTGGTCGGTGGGGGTGGGTAGTGAAAGGGTGGCTGGGTTATGGACATTGGGGAGGGTATGTGCTATGGTGAGTGCTGTGAAATGTGTAAACTTGATGATTCACAGACCTGTACCCCTGGGGCAAGTAATACGTTATATGTTAACAATAACAACAACAATAAAAAAAACCCAACCATGTTTGCATTATGAAAAAGATGCTCAGAATAAAAAAGTGGAAAGATAGTAACTCCTAGAAACACAACCCAAAGACAACTGCTGACAAGATATTGTGTTTCCTTTCAATTTTTTTTGAAGATTTTATTTATTATTTATTTGACAGAAAGAGACACAGAGAGAGGGAACACAAGCAAGGGGAGTGGGAGAGGGAGAAGCAGACTCCCCGCTGAGCAGGGAGTCCAATGTGGGGCTCGATCCCAGGACCCTGGGATCATGAACCCAGCCAAAGGCAGATGCTTAACGACTGAGCCACCCAGGCGCCCCTACTCTCAGATTTTTCTATCCTTTTTTTGTTTCCCAAACAGTATACATAGCTATACATGCTATTTATATCTCATCAGATTTTGCCTTTTCCCACTAATATCATATGATAACATTCCTTTCCCCCACCCTTTTTTTTTTTTTTTACCAACTTTGCAGAGCATACTATTCCATCAGGAGCATACAACATTATTTACTAAACATTTCTCTGTTGTTGACAATGATCTTAGCCCCCAGGTTTTTGTTTTTTAAATAATATTGCAATGAGCAATGGAATTATGTGGCCTCAATATTAAATGCATACTTATTAAATATATTATTCTCTCTATATATATCTTTTAAATATAAATATGAAATGAGGTGGAAAATGTAGTATCTTGAGAACACTCCCAGAATTTCTCTTAGGAAGGGAGCTATTTTCATTAGGAGAAATAAGACTCTTAGTGGTACAAAGGAAGATCTTTAGGGCACAAGTGTTAGCGGGAACCCTAGCAATGAAGAATAGGGTTAAGTTGTCTTTATCTGCCTGGAAATCAGGAAGAATTTGTTTTTCTCCAGAGACGGTGGGATAGAGGAGAGAATGGTCCGGCAGGGAGGGGAGGTAGTGATCTGGGAGAAGGCAAGACCCTAAGCAGTGAAGGGCCAGTTAGAAAACCTCAAAAGCATTGTTCAGAAAAGACTCTAAAGAATGTCTGGTGTGTGAGCCTCAACTGTTTGCAATGCATCATGGGACCCTGCTCCAGGGCTCAGAGCATCAGAATGTCTTCTCTACCCATGAATGTTTTGTGTGGGAAGATACGTGGGCAGTCCTCAGGAAGGGCTGAGCTTCATCTCTGCATTTTTGAATCGTGGCACTACAACAGCCTGGCAGAAACAAGAGCCTGAAGGCATCGAGATTTAGAAGAACACAAATCCCCGGAAACTGGCAGAAATCTAGAATCTAGGGAAGGCTTTGACCTCCACGATTCACTCTTACTTCAATCGCGAAGGGCAAGGAGGTTGACGTCTGAATGCACATTACAAAGTAATGCACATTTATTTCAAAAAGTATAAAAGAGAGAGAGAGAGAGAAGTAGGGAAAAAAAATCATCCAGGGTTCTATCATCCAGACATCTGAGGGTGTGGCCTTAGGAATGTATTTGAGAGGGAAGGGGTAACCTTAACTTTAAGGGCGGTGTTGAGAAGGGAGTTACACATTGCTGGTATACCTATGAGTCAAGTTTTGTTCGTCACTAGATGACAAACCCAACTTCTCCCATACTGCCTACTAGCTGCTATGTATCTTTTCATGGTCTATCTGAAGGCACAGGTTTGGAATAACAGGTCCCTTCCAAGTCTCAAAAAACTAGTTTAGGAAGCAAGAGCAGAATTTGCTACAACAGTAAAGAGAATGCTCCCAGTTTAGGTGGATATTCAGGAAGATAGGTAAAAACTCCATAACCATAAATTTCTAGTTGCAGAAGCCTGTAGAGGGAGAAAACCCTTTCATTAAAATTACAAGCAGCATTGACTCCTTCAGCGTGGTCTGGAGACCCAGGTTCTAACCTCGGCGTTGCTTCTCACTGCAAGTCACTCACCTTCACTGGGACTGTTTCTTCACTGCAAGGACGGGAGGCTGTATTAGACGACCTCTAAATTCCTTTCCAGCTTTAAATTCCCTTTTGTGATACTTGCTGGACTTGTCTTACTGGCCCTGGAACATCCCCTCCTGCTCCTCTCTCAGCCGCCGCGCCCGCATCCCACACCAGAGGGCGCTGCAGGCGGGCCCTGCGGAGCGTGCGGTGGGCGGAGTGCAGAATCAGAGGAGTCTCCAGGAGGCTCTGTGATTGGCCCCGGTCGGGGCGGAAGGGGGCGTGGAGAGAAGGGAGGGGGCTGAGGTGCGCGGTGACGTCAGGATGGTGGGGGCGGGACCGAGCCGCGCAGCGTGTGACGCCGAGGCCGCCGCGGAGCTGGGGATTAATGGGAAAAGTTTTGGCAGGCTTCGGAGGATCCTGCGGAGCCTGCGGGACGGGAGCGGCGGCCCGGGAGACTGCCAGGACAGGTCAGCCCGGGTCGGGGGAAGCAGTAGGCGGGCGGCAGAAGGAGGCGGCTGGCCCTGGCTGAGGCGGCCCGCGGGGCCAGGGCGCGAGGCCCGGCGGGGAGTGGAATGGGGGGAGCGGCAGGGGTCCGCGGCGGAGCAGCTGCGGCTTCCCGACACCCCGGCCCTGGCCGGTCTGCGGTGGTTTGTGGGTCTCCTGGCGCCCCGCCGCCCTTGAGTCCCCAGCCTTTTGGAACCCCATCACTGAGCCCGAACCGCGGGCCTCCCCCACCCTACTCTGTACCCCCTCTTGGGCCTAGTGGCTCCGTCTCCTCCCACTTCTGTGGCCGAGACCCGAGAGCCGGGTTTAAGGCTCAGGGTCCTCTCTCGTTCCCTACTGTTGTCTCTGACCTCTTCCTTCATGTCTTCCCCGGTGTCTCCAAATCCATTGCCCTCTCTACCCAGGGTCTCTTTGGGGGAATCTTCTCTGACCCTCTCGTTATCTCCTGACTTCGTCCTCCCACCCTTGCCCTGTCTTTGCTCTCTTTTTCCGTCCCTGTCCCTTCCTCCCCCTGTTGCCTGGCCCTTCTCAGGATTACGGCTCCCGGTCATCTTTGCGGTGTTATTAGGCTTTTTCTGTCCTTTGCCAGCAATCCCTGTCTACCTAAGCCCCTTCTACCCTGGTTACCCTCAGAGGCCCAATTTTTGCCTCTCTCTCTAATTTCCTTCTGATTAAGCCCTGTCCGCTGCATTCCTGTCAGCTGCCTCTCATTCCATTCCAGTCCCTTACCTCTACTTCAGGGAGAAGCATTAGCTCCACACACTACTCTGCTTTCCCTTAATTTGCTATTGAGATACCCCTGGAGGGGGGGGGGGTGTCCAGCCCCTGATTGAAGAAAGAGCTGAGGTAAGTAGCAGGCATGTCTGTGTGGGAGCATTTACTCGGGTGTTGCATCAGGGATGGTGTCCAATTTGTAGACCATTCTAATCTCAGCTTTAGTACTTCCCCTTTATGGGTCTGTTGACTTCCAGGAACCCTTGGGGAGAGAGCAGCCGCTGACTTGGGTGTGTGCCAGGGGTAGCTGGAGGCCTCATCCAACTCTTTTCCCCTTCCAGGAAACAGGGCTCTCTGTCTTTCCACTCTAGATGTACCAAGCACAGTTACACCATGATACTCCAGATTATCTCTGGCCTCACTCCCACCCTTCACCCTTTGCCCCATCCCCAAAAGCTAAGAGGAGTCTCCAGAAGTTGGGTCCCAAAGAATCCCTTAACTTTTTTCCTCTGTACTGGCTCCAAGACATTTTTTTTCTACTTGAGTTTTGAAATAGATTGCTAGCCTGATAGCTCTGGGGCTGGCAGGCATCTGTCCCATTTGTTACTGGTCACTTGAATCAGCTTCTGATTTTCACTCGTGTATCTCTGATCCACTGAACGACGTTAGGGCCTCCGATGAGTAGGTTCTCTTGAAGGTTCTTCTCCCTCCCGTTTTCCTTGAGAGCTTCATTTCCTGTGGATCCAGGAGGAAGTCTGACCCCTAAGTTCTGGTCCCTTTGCCCTGTCAGGTGGCTATCTGCCTGGGGAGTTGGTGGTGCTGCGTTTGATGGACGGTGTCAGTGTTTCTGGCCACTCACAGAGATATCTTCTTTGGGGCCAGAAAGCCCACCGCCTTCCTGGTGTGTCTGGGGGTTTAACCTTCTTGTCAGGCAGAAAGTTCTTTTCAGATGCCTTCAATTTGAGCTCCTTTATTTGGAGAGATCTTTAGGAAATAACATTATCCTGTTTCTGGCCAGACTGATCTTGGAGGATTCTGAAAGCATGACCCACTCTCACATTTAGGAATGAATCCCTGTTTCACCTGGCTCCAGGTTTCTAGGTCTCCTCTTTTGAGGATCGTGCTCTCTGTCTTTGAGCCAGAATTGGACACAGAATTGGCAACCTTCAGGAGCCATGGTGGAGAGCCAAGTGAGCCAGCTTAGACCAGACTTTAAAGTTTGGGAGCCCTCTTGTGTACTGACCCTTTTCTGTGAAAGGAATAGGACTGTGGACGTCTGAGCCACTCCCCTCTCCATTGACCCCTGAGTCCTTCCCTGAGCAGTGCCTGGGTGGGATTTGGATAGAATAGACCAAAAGGAGTCTCTTGTTCTTACAAAAAGCCTCCCTCCAGAGTTTTAGTGCGTCGTTCTGATGAAGGTGAGGTTGTGCGTTTGGCAGTAAGTTAGTCCAGTCTGACTCCCGAGGACTTTACCTGACTCTTTCGAGAGGTTTGCTGCTCCTCTGTCTTTGCTTATCCATTAGTACTCTCCACTGAGGCAGCAGGTGAGAGGGGCTTAAGAAGAGGTCAAGCCCAGTCCTTATGGAACAGCTTTGGCACCACCAGCTCTGGCTGGTAAGCTTCTTGCCATCTGTCCACCCTGTGGCCTTGGCGGTGGTCAGGGTTATCAGTGACCAAGTTCCCATTCAGTGAGTTTTGCAGAGTTTGGGTCAGCCTCCTCTCTTTTTCAAAGGTGTGGGCAGACAGGTCCCTGACATTATTCTACAGAGGGTGTAGCCCATCAGCTCCTTAGTTCTTTTTGTTTGGCTCTTTCTTCTTGCCTCTCCACTACTGTTTTCCTCCTTTGATGTAGGCCTCTACCCGTTCCAGAAGAATGGCCCTTACCCCACCTGTGGTCCCTCAGGGCCTGATAGAGGCCAGCCAGGGTTGCACGCTGGCCTGGGCAGCAGGTAGGCCTCTGCTCTCTATAGAGTGCTGCTGTTCTGGCTGTTGTGCAAGCTGTCCTGAGGGCCTGCAGATTCCGGCATGTCCTAGGACAGTGCAGCTCCTCTCTCTCAGGAGGAGTCAGACCTGTCGCTTCTAAAGGCCTCAGCTGTAGAGCCCGTCACTCCGGCCCACCTCCAGGGTGGTCCCTGCTGGCTGGGGAGCCCAGTTGCAGGGCCCACTACCCATGCCTGAGCAGGGCCTGCAGGTGCCAGGAGTTGCCTCACTGCCCTGCACTGTCCACGCTAGGATCACTCTCTTCTTCCTCCCCGCTCAGTGTCTCCATGAACTTTGTCTGTCCCTCCAGGCTCTGGCTTGTGTCATGTCAGAAGTTCTGTGTGCAATGCCCTCGTCTGTGCCACGTTGTTGTACATGGCACAGCAGCATCTGCTTGGGGATGGTGTGATGATCCTGAGTATTTTGCTGTGCCTTTGAATCCAGGGGGAGGAGCCACTTGCAGCAGCCATGTTTCACCAAGTCAGAGGAGAGCTGGGTGCTTGCTCGAACCTGGCAGGAAGGAGATGGCCTCTTGCATCAGGTTTCAGCCATGTGGGTCTTCTTCTTGGCAGATGGTTCCTGGCCTCCGTGGCTCTGAGGCTGGTGATTCGGGTGTGACTCTAGTCCTGCTGCCACAGGGCTTTGGTCAAGGACTCAAGCATGACTCAGGGCGTCTCCATTTCTGAGCTGCCACCTGTGGGGGCTGTTGGGCTCCAGGTCCCTTCTTCCCTTGGCCAGCTCCTTCTGCCTCGCCCAGGGAAAATGAGCAAAGCCGGTGTCTACTTACTGAGAAATGAGCAGACTCCTTCCAGGATCAGGAAATATTTGCTGACTCAGGCTCAGAATAACATCTCAGGCTGTATGTGTGTGTATGAGGGACAAAGAAAGAGCCCGCTTACCTAAGAGCAGTTTTGGAGCCCTTGCGTTTACTTAAAACATGAACGCTACTTTTCTGACCCCAGTGCCTCTCCACTAAAGATGTTGGGTTTCTTTCTGTCCTGCAGTGTTGTGTGGCGTTTTGGGCATGCTCATGGTACTCACGCAGTGGCTTCTGTTCACCGATAGATGAGGACAGATGCACCAAAGAGGTAATCCCGTTTTCCTTACACAGGACCTCTGACGACCAACTAAGACATCCTAGGTTTAGGATCCTGGCCTAAAAGATGGAACAGTTTCACTAGGGCTGAGTTCCCAGATCCCAGGTGCTTGTCATAACATGTGGTACTCGTTGCTTCCACATAGTGGGCACTTATTAAATAATTATTAAATGTCTATGGCTTATGTAGTTTTTTGGGGAGTATTGATATTTCCTCACCTTTGCACCCACTAAAACATAAAATCCACAAAGGGCAGGGACTTATTTTATTTCCTGTTGTGTCTAGGACTGCCTAGTGCTGAGGTGATGCTAAGTATTTGTTGAATGAATCAGTGCACAAACTTTTCTTCTCTGTCCATATGGGTGCCAGGCCACAAAGTTGGTGCCTTTCATTCTCTCTCATTTATGCAGCAGGCATTCCTGAGTGTCTGCTAGGTACCAGGCACAGTACTAGACACTTGGGAAGTGATGATAGGAAAAAAAACAGATTCAGTCCCTGCCTGATGGGTCCAAAGTTTGTTGGCACACATGAGATCTGGGCATAATACACAAGAGTTTTTCCTTCCATCTCTGCTGGCATAGCAGGTCCTCACCAGTGTCTGAACAATGTGGTCGGCCTCTCATCACTGTTTCCCTGTTTGTTCTCAGGATGCCTGGCAGATTTTATAAACTCTCAGAAGGGGAGCTGCAGGGAACTCGATGTTCATTGTCTCAGCTATTTGGGCGGTCGGGGCTGTGGGGAGGTCCCTGCTGGGGGCCAGGGGAAACATGGGCTCCTGTCTGATTTGTTTTAATCTCTGAAGTTCAGTGGTTCCAGCAGCTGTTTATGGGCTTCACTTCCCTTTCTCTGCCTTTAACACGCTGTGGGTTTTCCTGTTGCCAAACAGGGTGCTGAGCCCACACGTCTGTCTGTCTGTGGGGGCCAGCTCGCTTGTGGATCTTGCAGGAAGGCCTCAGGCAGGGGCCCCTCTGGTTGTCAAACCCATGCCCAGTCCTTCCTCTGAAGGAAATGTGAATGAGAAAGAAGGGGGGTGTGGGAGGCCGCTGAGGTTCCCTGAGAGGGGGTCAGGTAGAAGGGAGAGCCACTGAGTTCATGGCTTTGTCATTCGTTCCAGCAGCAGCTGGCCACAGAGCCGCATGTCCAGAGTTCACTTGTGCGGTTCATCCCTGAGCTTTGAGCTCCCAGTCCCAGCCAGAAGTTTTCCTTCTTAGTTTCCACTGGCAAAGGTGAGCCTAGGGCGTTATCAGATTTTTCAGTGCTAATCTCAGAAGTCTGTGGTGTGGTCGTTATCTTCGTCTTTCCCATCTGAGGTCAGGTCCTGTGACAGATGTTTCAGATACTGTCCTTGGCTGCTCCCCGTCCCTCCCCACCAAGGGTGTGGAGTCCGGCTGGGGAGAAAAGACATATGCACAAAAAGATTTTGAAAATATGAAGAGAGCTGGTGGGTACGAGGATAATGGCAGGGATACTCATTTAGAGGAGCTGATCATTACTTTGGATCAGCTTTGTTCCTGAAGAAACTGGGTTTCAGATTGGGCCTTGAAAGAAAGTTGGTTTATTTTGAGGTCTTTTTTTTTTTTTTTTTTTTTTTTTTTTAGATTTTATTTATTTATTTGACAGAGAAACAGCACAAGTAGGCAGAGTGGCCGGCAGAGGGAGAGGGAGAAGCAGCCTCCCCGCTGAGCAGGGAGCCTGATGCTGGGGTTGATCCCAAGATGCCTGGATCACAACCTGAGCCACTCAGGTGCCTCAGTGGTTTTGTTTGTTTGTTTGTTTTTAAGATTTAATATATTTATTTGCCAGAGAGAGAACATGAACACAGTAGGAGGAGCTACGAGCAGAGAGAGAAGTAGGCTCCCCACTGAGCAGGGAGCCTGACACAGGGCTTGATCCCAGGACCCTGGGATCATGACCTAAGCTGAAGGCAGATACTTAACCAGCTGAGCCACCCAGGCGCCCCTGAAGTTAGCTGTTGTGCTGTCATAAACAATGAATGTCATAAACATCATAAATGTCATAAACAATGATTCTCAAACCTTTTGACCTCAAGACCCTTTTACACTCTTGAAAATAATTAGGGGCACAAGAACTTTTATTTATCTTAGTAGAACCCAGAGGAATTTTTTTTTAATTACTAACTTATTAATCCATTTAATATAATAATAAACCCATTACATTTACCACAAATGACATGTTTAAGAAAAAATGGTTATTTTTCAAAACAAGTTTGAGAGAAGTGGCATTGTTTTACATTTTTGGCGATCTCTTAATGTCTGGTTTAACAGAAGACAGCTGGATTCTCATAACTGCTTCAATCTGCTTTGGTCTCTTGAGATATGTTGTTTTATTTGAAGGCCATGAAAAAAATCTGGCCTCACACAGATAGGTTGTTGAGAAAGAGGGGGTAATAGCTTTTAACAGCTTTTGCAGATAATTGTGGATATTCTTTGATATGATACCAAAACAGGACAAATGGTAGTTTCTTAAAGGGTAGTTGGAGTGTGGAGTCTGAAATCTTACCAACCGAGTTTTCATACTATAGCATTAAAATCCATGGGTTCCTCTTGTGCTTTGAATGGATCTTTTACTTTAAGTTGGTCACCAGAAAATATTGGTTCACTAAGTCACGTAAATCTTCTAAATGTTGACATATTTCATTTTACAATATCAATAAATCAGATTAATACCACTGATCTCAACAGAAAGACATTCAAGTGTTGGGAAGCTGTTAAGCTCAGAGTGGTGGATACAAGTTTTCCATAATTTGGATTTTCTCTTGAAAGCTTGATTTTTATCACTGGTAACATACTCTCAGGTTTTTTTGTTTGGTTGGTTTTTTGTTTGTTTGCTTAAAGATTTTATTTTTTGAGAGAGAGCACGGGTATATGTGTGTGGGGAGGGGCAAAGGGAGAGGGAGAGAGAGAATCTCAAGCCAACTCCCCACTGAGTGCAGAGCCTGCCACAGGGCTCAATCCCATAACCCTGAGATCATGACCCAGGCCAAAACCAGAAATAGGACACATAACCCACTGAGCCACCCAGGTGCCCCCCAATACTGTCAGGCTTTTTATTTGAATCTCCCTTTCCAAGAAAAAGTCTGTCAAATACTCAAAGTCTAAATAATTATAATGTGTTACTCTTTTCTTTGAAGTAAAAATGTTTCAAGAAGAAAATGACTAGCTTGCAACTCAGTCTCACAATTTTTCTTGAGACAACCATATGACTTTCCTTACAAAGAATATTTAAAAGACATACTTAAGAGTCATGATTTAACAAACTCAGTTTTTATTGTCTCATCCAGCAGTTCCTTCCCTGATTTACCAGCTAGTGGCCCTGGGGGCCTCAGTGTGGGGGAGACGCCAGGTTCTCTTCAACAGTTGGGTGTTCTGGGCGGTGCAACATGACACCCCTTCTTTAGGTTATGTTATGTTATGTTATTTATTTTTGAGTCCAATCTTCAAAGCCTGACTTCCACCCAGCCTTGTCATCATCTCCACAGCTCTCCAGAGATCATTGGCGAATTCCCCACAGCTCATAGTGCCACACCTGTGAAAGACTTCTCCCACGGGGAGGACACTGGAGGGAGAGGCTCCCTGTGTTGTGGGAAAGCCACTTCGTGCTTAATTTCATTCCTCTACTGTTAGGCCAATAGGTGCCTCAAAGCAGATTTTCATTGCCTTCATTTGCAATCTCCTGTAACTCCTTGATCCTTGTCTTGCTACTGCTCTTGGCACTTCCCTCGTCCAAGAGTTGTAACCTCAGAGGCACACAGTTCTTTGGCTTCCACTCCTGTGGAAGTCCAGGCCAGCTTTGCTCTCCCAGTGGCAGCTGTAGCCAAGCAGGCCACCCTACATATCCAACAGTCTGCGGGCCCACTCGCTCCTCAGAAACAGGCCTTCCTTCACTCTGCCAGAACCCAGAGCTTTACCTCTCGTCCCCTTTCCCAAACAAGCAAAGAAGGTACACTTTCTTCAGTGTCCCTTTGTTGCTTCCAGCATTGCCTTGTTCGTGTCTCACACTCTTTTCACCTCCAGTGCTATAGATGTTTTGGGCTGGGGAATTCTTCACTGAGTAGGCTGTGTGTTGTGGGATGTTTAGCATCATTCCTGGCTCGAACCCACTAGATGTTAATAGCAACCCTCCCCTGCTTCTGCCTCCCTTCCCTGCACCAGTTGTGAAAACCAAGAATGTCTTCAGACATTGCCACATCCCCCAATACGGGGCAGACTCACCCCTGGTTGACAGCCACTGCTCCATTGCTTTGCCCACTAAATATTTCTGGCCAATTGGGTCCTCTGGTGAACATGACATCAGTAGAACCAATACGGGAAGCATGCAGTTCTTACACTGGAAAAGTCTCCTCCTCAATCATCTCACTGAGCCCTTGAGGGCTTTGGGGAGGATTGAAATAATTCATAATGAGCTGGCATGTTCCAACTCAGTAAGAAGCCATATGACGTCTATGCAACAGAGGGACAGTGCCCAAGGTGTAAAGCAAGGTCCTGGAGTGGCTGTGTTTGTCGTGGCTTGCTTATCCAAATATTTCAGTGTCTGTGCCAAAACCCTTTCTATAGCTCTCAGAGGTGCCAAGTACAATAGAGTTGGTGATATGTCGCAGGTAGACTACCATTAACCTGTCTGTTCCTGACATCAGACATTACCAGCTGATCGGCTGCTCTGATCACAGCAGTCTTCCTCCCCTCACCGAAGCCACAGGGGTTCTCAGAACCCTCTATCCAAGGCAGTTCTCAAGAAAGAAGGCTTACCTGCCATTGCTGATAGTGAGCTTGTCTGTCTGGTCCAGACCATTTCTTTCCAGCTTCCCCCCCTGCAAAAGCCTTCAAGAGAGCTGAGAGATCCTGATGGCTTCCCCTGGGCCCTCAGCGCTTGCATCTTGGGATGCACTCCTGCGTGATCCATTGGAGGCCGCAGATTGCAGACGACCCTTCAAGAGTAGATCTCCAAGGAGGCCCACCAAAGGCTAAAATGCT